TTGCATGTCTGCTGTTAAGAATTCAATAACAGATTATAAATTGAACAACGAATCGGAGACCTGGAATGTGCAGTCAAAAAATAATGCATTTCTGCGATCGGTAAAAATTTTTATTTAAATTAAAACTTCAAAGTTTTAGAACATGACGATGCTTGACCATTTCGAGTATACTCAAATACAAACATTAATAATTCGAATATTCGAAAATATTCAAGCTACTCGAAGATGGTTAAAGCGTCTTTGAAACACTTATTTAAATCATAGTAAATTATGTATACTTGAATAATATCTTTTCCCATTTTTTTTTTGTTAACTTATAGGTACTGCGTCTTGTACATAATGTAAAAAATCCTGGTAAAGCATTTATGATACTTTATTTCGTTGCTACTTATGCTCCATATGGTGCGGATCAAGTAGAGGCAACATACGAATGTTATAAATTTGCGATTGAAAATGAGGATCGAATTATTGAAGATAAATATCAACAAAGATTAGAGAAAGTAAAGCGCAAATATCCAATTTTGAAAACTCAACATTTACTTAACGTTTACGGAATAACAGATGAAAAATTAATGGCTTTGATTGATAATCCTGTTGCTCTTATATATAATTTATATCATCATGAACAAATCATAAAAGAAAGCAAACAGTATATTAGCGAAGTTATTAAAGAAATTGCCGATTTACATAACCTGGAGTTGGATAACATACAATTCGAATTATTACAAAAGTGGTTATCTTTTACTTTTGATTCTACTGATGGTACAATAGTCGATGAGACATTTTACGAAGATCAAACAATGGTAGAAAATACAGTAATTGATGCAGGTTATGCTGCAGAAAATGTCTTAAGGTAAATCAACAACTTTAACAGCTACCAAAAATATATATGATTTAATTTTAAGTTATTAGTAAGGGTAAGATAAGGATGCCTTTCTTACAGCTTATTTCCTGTAGTAAAATATAATGGTTCTCTTCTTTTATTTCAAATTCCTCGTTCGGTTTAAAATTTGGCTAAAATTATTAATCTCTTTGATTTGTCCACAGCTTCTCAAAAAAGGGTTTTTGTATTTTTACCGAAACACTGGCTACGATTTTGAAGATGCTATATTCTTTGTCTTCTAAAATATGACAAAAGTATTTTAGTTTTCGTTGTTTTATTGTCTCAAGTATGTCCTATTCTTTGTTGATAGCTAGTATTACTAAATATGTGATGTCCAACTCAGTCCAAATAATTTTTAGTATGCCTCACATCTTGAAAGCACCGATAAAAATGTGTCGTTCACGGAAAAATAATAAATACTTGTTAAAGCTTAGTTGTTGTTGTCGTAGTGTAAAAAAAGCTATTGAGTCCAAAATATGAATAGACTTTAAGATGAATACATTAGTTGATTTTGGATACAATTGTGATATGATAAAATTATTTGTGTATTGGATGTTCCGGAGCAATCGCCTATAATTACTAAGTACAATTTACTACTATTATTGGAGTTTCATTGTTCACAAAGATAAAAAGCGCGGTTAATAATAACAATAATAGTATCTCAATCCACGAAAAAGACATCCAGTTGCAGTGAGGATATAATAATATCTTTGCATAATAGGTTCTTGTTTGTGGTACTATTGTTAAGTTGATCATATGAGTTATGATTGAAGTTGTTAAATGATTTTCTATTTCATATAGGGTTATATATATTAATATATATATTTTGTTTCGTCGAATATAGGACTACAGGTGATCACAACATTATGAGATATAGTATTGAATGTCTTCTTTATATCGCAAATCATAGATACAATGCGCATTCATTTTCATTTCTAAAATGTGTTTTGCATGGAGTTATTTCGAATCTATTACACGTTACATATATAATGGATTTGAGCAATTCTAGTATACTCAAATTCGAATATTTCGAACAAACACTTATAAAGTTCGAAAATGCTGTTCTATAATAATCTTTTGAATCTTTCTTTTGAATAAATACGTATAACAACAAATATTTTAACTTATTGTGATTATCGAACATTTTCTATATTCGAACATCAAAATGCTTGAAGCCTTATTCAGTTCAAATCATATTTAAAACAATAAAATATATGTACCCATTATAAAATGTAGTTCTAAAACATTTTTATACATTCACAGAGCGCATTATTTACTGATTAGTTGGCCTAAAAAGGAGTCGATGCAATTTCTAGCTGCACATATATTTCCTACGGATGAGTAAGCAATATTGTATATGTGTTTATTAAATAATTATTTTAATTTATTTTGATTTAATTTTTATTTCAGTACCACTAACATCACAAAACAACTGCAAATTTATGAATGCTTTTCAAAATTAAATGATGGCACATTTTCATCAGTACTTAATATGCCCACTCAACGTCAATATATGACAATCAAATGTGTTCATGAACTGAAACAACTCGGCTACAATACCAGTCCAGAAAAATTTTCGCAATTAAATAAAATCGAAATACTTAAACTAATTTGGCAGCGGAGCGGACAAAATGCCAGTACCTTAAAAACCTTAGCTAATATTTGTCTAGGTTTCGATATATATTTATCAAAAATTTGGAATGGTATACTTAAGCGTATGGTCGCTTACAATATGGTAAGCGAATTAAATGCCCTTGTTGATGTTCTATCGTGTAAGGCGCAACTGTTAAAAACTGAAGGCTTAGTTGCGGCCTGGGAATGTGTCTTGGAACATCCATTCAAAATTGCAAATAAAACCCGCTCCATTGAACAGGAAGAAGAATTATATAAAACAATGTTACGCTTACAAGTTTGTATATCTATAATTTAAGTATGTATAAATGTCTAACTATTAATAAATATATAATATTTAACTTTAGAGTTGTCCTGTGGTGCAAAACCTCAATTTGATGAAATTCACGGAACATTGTTTGCGTTTGGAACGCTTGCACATGGCAGCCATTTTTATACCTTTTTGTGAAGAGAATGAAAAGCGTGAAAATATTAAAAAGGTTTGAAATTCTCACTAAAACCTTAAATGATTAAGTTTAATAATTGATTTTGATTTTAGTTAATTTTGTCACGTAAAAATAATAATTTACGAAAAGAGATTCTGGAATTAGAGGAAGCAGGAATACTACCAACGATTTTAAATTTTGTATTGAAACAATTAAATTTGTAATCATATTATGAACGTTTATTGCATGAAAGTAGTATTATTTTATAAATATATAAATATTGTAATTTATAAATCAAAAATACAATAAATTTTTTAAAATATTTTATGAATAAAAATTTAAATGCATAACGTAGTTATTGCAACCTACACCAAAAAGTAAACACGTAAAAGAATGACAAAACTTGGATAAATGAAGTGTAACGTAAGGGTAAATAAAGGTTCCGAGAGCAACCGGGCCTACATCCTGGAAAAACTTGTCTCGATTGGCGCTCAAATGCCATTTAAGCTTACAAACAAGTACACGAGAACCTAGACACATCCTAGTTCATGTATTCATCATATAATTCCTTTCATGTTATTTACTTCACAGATCCCTGTGAGCTACAACAGAACCTAGATATGTGTTTATTTGATGGCAATTCGAAAAATAATATTTATCTGTGATAGTTGAATCAAATAATAAAATTAAAATAATTACATTTTTATACTTATATGAATAATTTAATATACGGAGTGGTAATTCGTGTTCCTAGATTTTAGACCCATAGACCATAAGGAATATTACAGTCTTGAAAAAGGTTATTTGCAATTTCTTGATATTAAAGTTTTAGATTGAGTCCATAGCATTCAGATATGGACACACGTTTTTGTTAAGGTCTGAGATCTGCGGTATGTCGACATACATATACGCAATGAAAAAATTGTTAATAATGGCAATATTTACAAAAATGAGTTTCATTTGTGCTGCTTAGAAAAAAGTAGGTCAGGTTAGGTTATAACGGCGATCCCAGGTGGATGCACTTAGGCCTATTGGCTAATTGTGTTACCGTATATGTACGACAGAAAATAGTAATTGTGGCCACATTCTAATTGCATTGATCACAATATGTTAACACATTGCATTACATAAAGTCACCAATTGATTCTAAATTTTAACTTAAGCATAATATAGACGATGCTAAATGTATGCACACCAAGTATACATACCAAGTATGATCTTTGCTATACAATTTGAAAAAAGGTGTAATTTTACCGCATACATGTCTGTAGAGAGAAATTTGGTATGCATACTTGATTGTACACAGTGCGATTTGGTAGTACGGCATACTTGGTTTGCATACATGTAACATCGTCTATATCATGCTTTTGGCATCTTCTCATTTTCTATTTAGCATTCTAAATTCGTGCTGTATTGTCAAAATATTATATACATACTACATAATTTGCAGGCCCACTTACAATAAAAATAAATCCTCGGAACTCATCAAAAGACATCGTGTGAACACTGTAAGGCTTACTGCAATTCTTACTGATCATTGGTGTGTAGGAACTCACGCAGAGAAACTGCGCATTTCCCATAATCCTTATTGCAGAAGTTGTGGAAACCCGCAGGAGAAAGAAACATATTCTCTGTAAATGCCCGGCTTTAGCGTCCAGAAGATATAGGTTCTTAGAAAAATACTTCTTTGATAGTCTATCAGACTGCTCAACGGTGATGATAAAAGACCTATTAAATTACCTAAATTCGGCGGGATGGATTTAGTCTCTACTCTTATACATTAGGGTTCTTGCGAGGAATGTGGTGGCAAAACGACGAAAAATCGCTAATTGCAATCAACCAACCAACATAATTTGCAAATAAATATTTCACAACACAAGCTAATTTGCTATATTCGAACTTGTGAAAAGGGCTATTTACACAGCTTGTATAAATCTTAAAAATAAATAACACAGCTTTGCTGTCATAAACGAATTTGTATTTTTTGCATGATTTATTATAAATATAAAATTTTGTGGTTAAACAGATATTGTAAAAAATTGTGCATTATAAGAGTTTGAAATAGTTTTTTTTGCAACACTTTTTGAAAAACAACATTAGAGATATTCACCATCATTTCTTAAGCCAGTGAGGTGAATAAAAAACGGCTGTTGACAAATAAACTAGCGTAGGGAAATGTTGAACTAAAAATCAAAACAAACAAAATAAAGTTAAAAAAATATATAAGAGAATGTGAAAAAATAATTTGCAAATTGTTTTGCATTCACAAAAATGTACACCTCTTTGGAACGCTGTCCAGGCACATATTGTGGTCGAACTTTACTTGACAACAATGGGACTTGGAGTGAATGTGGTGCATGCCCCCGTGGTTCACGCGTAAACGAATATTTTGCTTGTGCGGAATGTCAAGAGGAATTAAATTTATATTCTTGGTTGTATCTAGGATTTATGACCATGCTACCATTAATGATGCATTGTTTTTTTATTGATTTAGATGCAAAAGACAGAAAGTATGTATGCAAAGTATTTTATGCGTGGAAGTGGATAATTTTATTTTTTGTTATTAAGATTTTCACGAAAACAACTTACGTTAACTACTTGTGCGTTTGCTGAAGTGATAATTTCATCAATACTCTCGATATTAATGATGGAGCCACTATGGGAATTTCGACTGCACGCGTGTCATGTTCGGAAAATTACTGACTGGTATACATTGTTTTATAATCCCAACCCAAATTATCAACAGCGTTTATATTGTACACAGGAAGCAGTATATCCATTGTATGTAAATATTAAAAGAATGTATTATATATTATAGAGCTACCAAAATAACTTTGTCGTTTAATTACAGACAAACAATAGTATTGGTTTTTTACTTTTTATGTCTCATTACAATGTTCATCATTCGTCCTATAATTGCCAGCATCATGGATATACGGGGACGATCGCCAGTCTATTCTGCACTTTATTTTTTACCTTTATTAATATTTATACATGCTCTGGCTGGCGGTCTCATATGTAAGTTTTATAATTTTATTCTGTAAAAATTTAATTAATAAAAATTATTTTTTAGATTTCTCATTTCCATATTTAAGCATAGTTATATCCATGATTGCCAATGCAATTCATTACTCTGTCAAACTGGATCAGTCATTTAAATCTTTAATAAAGAGTTCTTTTGAAGTAAAGAACTTGGTCATTATAGGTTAGTAGATCTAAATAAAGGAAATTTTATTTATTCTGTTTGTGATAATGTAATTATTTCATTGAAGCATCGCACTGGATGTTGTTAGCATATGGCATTGTATCTTTGGGACATCACACAGCTCTTTTGGCACTTATACCTTTTCCGTCAGTATTTTACATTCTAACTGTACGTTGTACTGATCCAGCAGAATTTCGTGAAGTTGAAAATCGTTCAAGTTGAGATTATTGTGAAGTTAAGTTTATATTGTAGTTTATATAATAATTTTATAGGTATATAGCTTTTTTACGTTAATGTTTCGTTTACTATTTATTATGATGTATAAAAATGACTGCATATAGATATAAATTGTATTTTCGTATATTAAAGATATTGTGTTGAAAAATATAATACTAATAATATAAAAAAAATATAATTATTTTATTGTAGATATGATAATATATTTGTACAAAAATATATATACATATTTGGTCGTGAAAGGCATAAGTTCTAGCATTGATTATTGAGCAATACTGTTGTAGTCAATGTGACGAATGCCTCATTGCCGTGACTCAAGTTTCTCTCGCTCTTATACTCAAATTTTTAATTTTTATTAACAACAATTAATGAAAATATAAGCAACTATTTCATATTTGACGTGACCGTGACTAACTGTATGGGCCATGTTATGTACAGTGTCACGGACTTGTCATGAACAAAATAATTGTTTTCAATGCATATTATAAATTGAAAGTGAGAGAAAAAACAATACGTCGGTTCATATTTGGTCATGAGAACCGATGCTATATGTATGTGCCTCGTCACTTAGGCAAAGCAATGTTGTTAAGAAATAAATATCAACGTTTGTGTCTTTTAGTAGTAAATTATTTCAATTTTTGTGACATGTAACGTAGAGTGTCATGTGGCCATGTAATGTAGAGTGTCATTGGCATGTCATGAGTAAACTTATTGTCAAGTTAAAAAACTGAGATCGAGAGAAAAAATAATTTGTTGGTTCAAATTTGTTCAAAAGAGACGAGAATATCTGTGCCAAGAGTAGTAGTAAAAATACGAAATTGGCAATACTGATGTAACACTCTATAAAGCATGCATCTACATAACATGGCCCTATGGGATTCATATGGAATACAGTTATATGAGAAATGGTTACGGCAATTTTACGCTCGTTTTGGTCATCAGCACAAATTTATATCACAATTATTAGTTTTGTAGTTTTTCTGCAATTTTTAGTTTTTCTTCATGTCTAAATTTTAAGGGTACTATTGCTTTGGTGGATAGAACTCTAACGTTTATTATTTTCTCTCTCTCAAATTTTTAAATTAATTTATTAAAAATAATTAAAAGCAACAATAATTTCACATTTGACTGTCTGTATAACATGATCAAAAAGCCTAACTATATCCAACATTTAGCCTTAAGCATGATACAGATGATGCTACTATGATATAGACGTTGTATGCACACCAAGTATGAAGACCAAGTAAGCGGTTTGCTATGCACTTTGAAACTAGATGTAATTTTACCGCATACATGTCTGCAGATAGAAATTTGGTATGCATACTTGAATATACACAGTATGATTTGATAGCACGACGTACTTCGTTTGTATAAAAAATGTAACATCATCTATATCATGGTTTAGAGAATTTTATCATAGACCATATAAATATTTAAAATATGTTTTATATTAAAATAAACATTTGCAGTGTTGCCAACTTGTGCATAAACAGTTTGCTGACATTATCTTGATCAACAACTATAGTATCATAAAAATGTTAAAATGATCCTTTTTTCAAAATAATTCTATTAATTTCATTGTACAAAATTGTACAAATTGTACAAAAGTTGCGCACAGTGGTGGCTAAACTATCAGATACATATGCATATCATGAGTCATTATCTAAGATATAAACATCAACACGCGAATTGTCACACATTGTGCAATAGCTTTATATGTTGTGTATTAACTGAAATTTAAATAATTTTACTTAGTAATATTTAAAAAAAATAAATAATATATAATAAAATTTTTTTCACAAAAATAATAAAAAGTTTTCTAATTTACCAACACTGATAATATTGACATTTTCCATCAGAGACAAGAGTTAATAAAAGTCAGCGCCATTTTCATGTTGTGTGGATTTGTTACTCATGGAGCAGTTTTTCTTTATTTTACATTAGATTTTTAATATAATAAATATAATATATATTTATAGTGTATATCAATTTTTAAATGCAAATCAACTATATTAACTTCTATATAAATTTATTTTTTTCGCGATATTTGTGAAAATTGTGTATACTAAACACGCCTTCTGTCTTTAACTCTGCAATAAATAATATATACAAATATCTAAATTATTTTATATAAACTTTTAATTTTAATAATCGAAATATATAAATATGTTTGGTGGTACAAAGCCTACGTTTGGATCTACCACCACAAACACTGGATTTGGCACATTTAGCAGTACGCCAACAACTGCGCCATTCGGTCAGTCTGCATTTGGAAAACCGGCGACATCAGCTTTTGGCACGACATCAACTTTTGGAGCTCAACAGCCCACCACGTCGTTATTTGGTACTAATGCAGCACAACAACAGACGACTGGTTTGTTTGGTGCGTCGAATACATCTTCAGCTTTTGGCGCAACAACAACAACGCAGCCAACTTTCGGTGGTAAGTACATCTTCTTATATGATATCTTATACATATCATATCTGTTTATATTATATCTTAAAGTGAATTTATTAAATATTATAAAAATATTCATTGATAGGATTTAGTCAACCGCAGCAAAATACTTCAATATTTGGAACTACACAACCCGCTGCTAACACAAGTTCACTTTTTGGACAGTCTTCAACTTCAGCATTTGGTTCTACAGTTAAACCAAGCGGTTTAGGTGGGTTTGGTCAAACAGCGCAACCTACCTCTTTATTTGGGCAAACTGCACCAAGCACTTCTAGTTTTGGTAGTTTTGGTCAAACAGCTCCAGCAAATACAAGTGTATTTGGCAGTACAACAACGAGTGCTTTTGGACAAACTACTGCAGCGGCCGGTGGTGTGAATTCCGGCAGTTCCATCGCAAAATATCAACCAACAATAGGCACTGATACCCTTATGAAAGGTGGCCAACCAAATAATGTTAATACTAAACAACATTGTATAACTGCTATGAAAGAGTATGAAAATAAATCACTTGAAGAATTACGTATGGAAGATTATCTTGCCAATCGAAAAGGACCACAGAGCGGTACTGCACCCGCCGGTGGATTTTTTGGTACAAATACGCAAGGTACACCAAGTACTGGACTTTTCGGTTCAACTACACAACCAACAACTGGTCTTTTCGGCCAACCTGCTGCCGGCGGTGAAAATAAAAATTTATTTGGTACAAGTGCTTTTGGTCAGTCTACAACCTCTGCATTTGGGCAAACACAACCACAGAGCAGCTTTTTGGCTAAACCATTTGGTGCAACCGCGGGTTTTGGTACTACAACAACAGATGCCGCAGCCAATCCCTTTGGTCAAAAGCCTGCTTTTGGAGCTAGTACGACGGGTGGTTTATTTGGACAAACACCTGCAGCTAGTACAGCACCTGCTTTCGGACAGACAACTACTGGATTTGGTGGATTTGGCAGCACTGCTGGTACACAACAAACTTCCTTATTTGGCGCACCAGCTGCAGATGCAAATAAGCCAGCTTTTGGCTTAGGCGCAACATCAACTGCGAACACAGGGTTTGGCGGATTTGGAACACCTGCAACAAGTACAGCTGGAGGAGGACTATTTGGTGCTAAGCCAACTACAGGTACGTATTTGAAAAAAAATATTTAACATAGTGGTTGTTTCACTTTATAAGTTTTTAAGGATTTGGAGCTACAACAGGATTCGGAGCCACATCTACAGCCAATACCGGCTTCAACAATTTTTCAATGAATAATACTGGTGGCGGTTTATTTAATTCAAACCTCAATAAACCGGCCACATCCGCATTCGGCGGCTTCAATACCCAAACATCTGCGGCACCATTGAATTTTAATACAGGCTCTACGGGTACTTCACTTTTTGGCAATACTGCTGCTAAACCATTATTTGGCAATACACTTGGAAATACGAGCACGGGAGGAGGAGGTCTTTTTGGTGGAACAACAGCATTCGGTGTTAATAATTCTGTAGGCTTAGGTGGAAGCACACTTGGTGCGAACAATTCTACATTAGGAATTTTAGGCGGAGCTGCACCTCAACAAGCTGTACCTATACATCAACAAATTTTATTGAAGGTTACTTCTCCTTATGGTGATAATCCAATATTTAAGGACCTGAAAAGAACAGACGAGACAGATGCATCGCGACCAACAAATCCTATAGCGCAACAAACGTTACTGGAATCGAAAAATTCAGATTTCAAAATATCATCGAAAGCAAGTCAATTTAGTATAAAAGTTAAACCAGTTGGAAGCGCATTAACGAAAAAGTCACTTTTTGAGGGATTGGAAGAGTATGATTCAAGTGTTGAAAGTTTTAGCTTAAAACCCAATGCTAGACGTTTGATAATTAATCCAAAGCCGAATACTTCAACACCAGAAGCTGCAATAAATAATGAAAGGAAAACTATAGAGAGTCCTTTGCGCCAAATTAATAATTTAACTACTGGTTCAAATGGTAATGAACGTAATGATTCATATTATGCTGATAATGCAGTAACAACACCGACGTCAATTGCGGTTGCTACTAGCACTGCTGTAACAAATGACAACGATGCAAATCGACGCGAATCGTGGCTGCATCCAAATAATTTGAATAAAGTGCGACAGCAAAATAAGGATGCAGAAAATAACGCAAATCACAACAACACACTTATAGAGTTAATGCCACGTAAACCTATAGAAACGTACCGTCCTGCAAGCAGATTATCAATGTCTACAGTGCCTGAAAATCCTTTTGAAGAAACAAGTGGAACTGTTCGTAGAGACACATTATCATTTACAGATAACAATGAAAGTTTATTTTCGAATCGGTCTTTTGGTCATGATGAACGCTCAATAATAGACAATCAAGAAGACTACGAAGAGCATCCTACCGGTATTACTCTAAGCAGAGTTGGGTAAGCATAAAATTTGTTTTAGAGAATAAAATATTAACTTAATGCTATTTGATATTTGTAGATATTACACTATACCACCATTGGAAGAATTGAAGTCATATATATCGGAAGATGGCAGTTGCATTGTACCAAACTTTACAGTTGGTCGGGAAGGTTATGGTAATGTATATTTTGCAAAAGAAATGGATGTGTCTAATTTAAATTTGGATGAAATTGGTAAGCTGTGTAAACAGTTTTTTAAAGCTTATATTCATAATATGTTTTATTTGTAGTACACTTCCGTAACAAGGAAATAATAATATACCCTGACGATGATAATAAACCACAAGTTGGTTACGGTTTAAATCGTGAAGCTCAGGTTACTTTAGATAAAGTTTGGCCACATGATAAAACAAAGCACGAACCCATTAAAGATCCAGAACGTTTATTAGAAATGGATTGGGAGGCAAAATTAAGAAAAGTTTGCGATAAGAACGATACACGCTTTATTGAGTATCGACCAGAAACTGGTAGTTGGGTATTCCGTGTTAAACATTTTTCAAAATATGGTTTAAATGACAGCGATGAAGAAGATGATCCAGTACCGACTGATCCGAAAAAAGCAAAATTAGTGCCAGGTGCAAATCAACAACCTTTAGATAAAACTAAAACAGTGGCAACAAAAAAAGTAAATTTAATTAAAATTTTAATCGCGTAAATTGTTATTTTAACATTGTTTTTATATAAAAAGGTAAATGGTGATGCTACTGGTATTGTCGATCCCAAAAATAATGCATCAGGAGCAACTGCTTATTTTCCTATGGATGAATCCGCAGAATTTATGTTCATGGATAAGACACGTAATTCTCTATTAATGATATAAATAAATATGCAATTATATTTTTTGATTTTCTTTAATTTTAGAATTTCTTCAAAACAATTCCAATGATTATAGTATGTCAATGCAGGATAAAAATGCGAACAAATTCACATATATGAGTCCCACTGCTGCTTTAGCTAAAGAAGCAGGCACCGATGCACATAAAGTACAATTAATGAAAGCATATTTATTCGATGATGACGATGATAAGTCAAGTAAGTATACAAATATTTTTTTATTCAAGTTGTAGAATGTTAATCTTTAAAATTGTTTTAAAACAAAAATAAGCTACTTCAAAGATTAACCTTCAATTCGTTGACCTTGTGTTTCCAAATAAAGTTGTAGTTTACTGTAAGCTCGTTCTAATTTAAAATATGGCAAGTGCTTTGGTTAGTTTAACTAAATAAATAATAAGTGAAAAAAAATCTGAAACTTGAAAATTTCTGCAGCCTTGGAAAATTTGACAGGCACGAGTTTTAAGCCTGGCAGTGCCAGTCCAAACAAATTATATACGAGTTATAAACTAATTAAGAAATTCGAATATTTCCTAAGACCACTGTTGATGAGTACTTGGCAACACTCGAAAAAGCGTTGTATGGTCAGCCAAATCTCAATAAATTAAATTAAATTTTTGTCCTTGTCTTTTCTTTGCTACGCGAATTCGTGTAATTATTTATATTTTTTGAAACTTTGAGCTTTTAATGTTCGACTATGCTTGTACTCTCGTTATATGAATATAATGTGAAACAAATTTTCAAATTATTGTCTTTAGTAATTATTATTGTTTTTATTTTTATTAAAGTCCAACAATTACAGCGAGATGAATTGATCTAGTGCGTATAGCCTTGTTTCCTAGTATATAAAATTTTTATAAATTTAAACACAATTCCACTCCCCACACTTTAACCTCCATTTTCACTAAAATAGGCACTTAAATGTTACATTTTTATACAGAATTCTATACAGAATTAACTGCTTTGACTTAAATAAAGAACTACATAAATACATTACACTGTTAACTGTTTATGTAGGAACTATAAGAAGATCCAATTACCGAAAGTCAATATCCTTACGTTTTAGTCCAACCGTAGGAATTTAATAAATAACAATGATGTTTTGATAAAGCATAAGTTCTATTGATAAATGTCAAAACTCCTACACCTGGACCCAGGTTATTTTCAATATTTTTTTTCCTAACTTGCTTCTCTCTGACTTTTAATTGACACCTCACTTCTCTTCAACAAAAATAATTGAACAAAAATGAGACAATTTAATAGACGAATTCAGTAGACGAAGTTTACCAATGTAAAAAATAGCGCTGTTGTGCAACAGATTATACTGCGTGTATTATTATAATTACCACACACAAGTTACGTTTCAAAACAAAAACTAATATGTTGTTAAAATTCTTTTAATTACAGTTTCATCCGATATTGAGAATCAATACACATTTGATCAAAACAGCAATAAAGGGTCTGGGGCTTTGCGAAACTATGATATGCGTTCCAATGTTTTGCGTTCGCTACATAAAGAATCAACTGTAAATCTCTCTGATAATTTTTCCGAAGCTTCAAGTCAAATGGATTTTGGTATGCACGGTACTCCACTTCCACCAGAATCGTCTGCAGCTTCAATATTAAGCATACAACGTGAATTACACACAAAAGTAAGCGAATATATTTAATATTTTTGCTATTTATATTAAATATGAATTATAATACAGACACCAGTTGCTGAAAGTGAAGATAACGCTCTTGTACCAGTAACAACACAGAAATTCCCAATATTTGATATAAAACCAAAAGTAGCTCAGATCAAAAGTTTTGCATTCGAATCACCACTTAACAAATCAATCGCTGGACACTTAAAAGGAAAATGGGCATCTGATTTAGGCCTATTTAACGCTAGACGTTTTAAATTAGGTTTTGGACCACAAAATACATTAGTTGTTCCAAATACAAAAAATAATATTATAAGAGATATAAAAGGTAATTTTCATTAAATTTAATTTTGTCCGTTTTTTTTACAAAATTTTTTTCTTATTTCAGAAGATAATTTATTAAGCATAACACCGTTCCTTTTTAAACAACGAGCGCTTAATGATTACTCACCGACAATTCTACAGCACATAAAGATTACAGCTACTGAATGTTATGACAATTTCAAAGATACTGTTGTAGAGCACTTGCAAATCCAATTACGTAGTTCACTACAGAAGGATGTCGAAGGCAGTGATTGTCCATGGATTAAGTCTGATAATGGTACAGATTTAATTGTCAAACATCTAGATGAAGCTATTAAACAAATCAATAATGGTAGTTTCGAAGAGTATGCTGTGACGGTTTGGTCTCTTTGTTTGGCATTGTGGGGTGATCATGAAGAACTAGAGGGTCAAGATGCAGATTCACATTTTACTGTTATGTGCCGTCGATCTTTGTTGTCGAAGTGGTTGGAAAATTTATTAACCGACAGTGATTTGTTAACAAAAAATATTACAACAAATACATATTTAGATCATATGCTAGCATTAATAAGCTGTCATAAAGTAACAGAAGCGTGCGAATTAGCTTTTCTGTATGACGAACCCAATTTATCGCTTTTATTAGCGCAATTATCTTCTGGGCCTGCTGTACGTCAATTAATGGAAGATCAACTTGCTGCGTGGCACAAAAATGATGCTGATAAATTTATTGCATTAGAACGACTCAAAATGTATATGCTAGTTGCTGGTATATCAATTATGGATTCTGCACATGGACCAATAAATATATTAGAGAATATTAGTTGGCTTAAAGCATTAGCTGTAAATAAATTAATTTTAATCATTTAACAGTTTATTAAATAATTCTTTTTTTTTTTAGATTCAATTGTGGTATATATCACAACCAACTGCGTCTGTAACAGATGCTTTGGCAGCATACGATAAAAGTTATCAAAATGAGGAGTACTTTTCATTAGCGCCTACAGCACATTATTTATCTTCTAATAATGAAGAGAAGAGCATAGCGTCAAGAATTTATGACTTGCGTTATCATCTACTGAAACTTAACTCAAAACGTAGTTACCCGCTGGAGAGTTTATTAAATCCAGCAACACATACTACGGATCCAATGGACTATCGCTTGAGGTTAGTTTATTTTTAGCATATATAATACTTTTTAAATAAAAAACTTCAACAAAAATATAATTTTGGGTTGTTACTTCCAGTTGGCTATTATTACAAACGCTTGAAGCGTTAGGCTACCAACATTGTTCTGAATCTTGTGTAAATCAGTTACACATAAGCTTCGCTGCACAATTAGAAAATAACGACCTTTGGGAATGGGCAATATTTGTGTTGTTGCATATAAAGAACCGTAACAATCGTGAAATAGCCGTACAAAATATACTTTATCGCTATGTTAGTGTATCTTATGAGGTGTCCCTAAATGAGAAAGAGAAATTTGTGATTAATAACTTAGGTGTGCCAGAGAAATGGATTGATTATGCTAAGGCCGTTAAAGCGGGCGCTTTGCGTAAATATCATTTGCAAGCCAAATACTTATTAAAAGCAAAACAATGGAATTTAGCGCATGAAATAATTTATCAACATATAGCACCAGATGCGGTAATAAATGGTAAGTAAACATACTTGCAAACCTCAAAAATTTTAACAATAATATTTTAATTTTATTTTTTATTTCAAATTCTAGATGAACTTGACTATTTGCATGAATTGTTAAGTCAGTTTGAAACCGAAAATGTTAATAACTCAGTGAAAGTACCAAGTTGGAGTAATCAGGGACAAATTTTCTTGGATTTCATTGACATAAATGAAAAAGTAAAATTTTCAATTTGTTTGAAAAATATTTTGGCATTCATGTATTTTTACATTTTTTTCCAGTTTAAAAATCTTAAAAGCCTTAGGAGTGAAGCGGATATTGAAGCTCGCTGGGAAAATCTAAAGCATCCATTAGCAGAATTATGTTCACGTATTAATCTTCTGCCATGCCCCACAGCTAAACATCGTTTATGCCAAAGTGAAATTGCACAAAATTTAGCATGTTTAGTACGTGGCGTTTTGTTGGTTTGTAGTGGACTTAATCCATGCCAAATTATTAAATTTGCATTGGAACGTTTGCCTTTACCGCAAGAATTCGCACAACAAGAGTTACGCGCATTGCTGGACGCTATAGTTGCCGATATGGGTAAAATAAATACATTCGATCGTGACGCAGTTATCATTAAATGATACAATTACAAATAAATAAAAAACAAATTTTTTTTAAGCTTGGAAGTATGTATCATATATATGTGTATTAAATATTGTAATTAACTTCATTTGTTACATCATTAGGTTATTTTATTTAGTTTAAATTAAGAATCAAAGTTTAATTTTTTATACACATTAATAACAGTTTGTATCTTAAATTTAGTTCATTTGCAAAGCATATTTGTTTTAATTTTTAAATAAGCTATTATTGTTTTCTTTATTATGGTATATCATTTTTAATATTTCAAAATAAAGTTACAAAAAGTTAAATTTAATTTTTTTTTTTATTAAGTATGTATGTTATGATTATGTTCGTGAAAAATAAACTATTTCTATATAATTGAAAATGTAAACTACTAGCTTATTAAAATCTATTGTGCAAACTTGTCTTCACCAGCTTTACTGCTGAGTGTTCATCATCCGTCTTATATAATTCGCATCGATCGAGCATTTTTTTTGTTGAGTTTTGCATGCACAACTTTGCAATATCCTCAATAACGCAGTTTATTCATTTCAGCTTGGAACATCCAAGTCTTTTCAATACGGAGTGACGTAACTTGTTTCTTTTAAGGCCTGCTGTCTTGCATTATTAGGACATGTCCTACATAACGAAGTCTTTGTGTTTTAATGAATTTTATTGTGTCTTCAGAACCTTTAAATTACCAACTTAGGATTTAAGTAATTATTCTAATATTTGGTGTTGTATGAAATATATCCATGTATATGTGGATCTTTTGTGGAACCAAGGGATAAGAATATAAATCCTTAATTTATTTTTTGAATATGATTTCCGGCACGCGACTACGCGTTACATGGTCTATTCGATCAGTCCAATTTTTGACTATTTTTTGCAATAATGTGGCCGTATGGCGTCAATGGTGGCATGAATATTGGCTTCCAATGCTTCAAGAGTTGCTGGTTTATCGACATAAACCAATGATTTAACATAACCCAATAAAAAGTAATCAAGAGGGGCCAGTTAACAGGACCACTTTTGGAAATAATGTTGTTACCAAATTGATTTCGCAATAAATCGATTGTTAAACGCTCTGTATGGCAAGTTGTACCGTCTTGTTGGAACCAAATATCGTCGATATTAAATTGATAATTTTTGGAAACAAAAGCTCGATAGCGCTCGCCATTTATCGCAATTGCAGCTTCTTCCTCATTTCGAACGAAATAAGGACCGATGATGCCGCCAGCAAACAGCACCAAACAGTCAATTTTAATGGATGTAATGGAGATTTGTTAACCGCTTGAGGATTAACGTCGTACCCTATATGACAATTTTGATTATTGACATAGCCATTTAACCAGAAATGAGCTTCACCACTGAACACAATGCTTATCTTCGGTCAGTTTCAAATGAGCCCGATCAGCAAAAATGCGACGTAAACGATGATCGTTTGGATTTAATTCTTGCACGAGTTGTATTTTATAGGTAAGTAAGCCAAGATCATAGCGTAAAATTTTCCACGTAGTCAACACTTCGTGCTACAGTAGCAATATTCTCTTTGGTACGCACATTTCTTTGTCTTGATGATGGTTTTGAATCGAGAAGAGTAAAATTAATGCGAAAACGATCAATAATTCCACGAATTGCTTGTTCACTGGGCCAATTATGTGGACCGTAATATGGACGAAGTGCTCTATGAACTTCGCGAATGGATTTATATTTTTCAATGTAAATTTCCACAATTTGGAACCGTTGTTCTGGCGTTAAACGATTCATGATCAATTGCCAAATATTATTGAACAGAAATGTTAACACAGTTTGAGATTCTCAGCTTCCAAATCATTGTTATTGATATCGATAGTTCTCATGCAGCGAAAAAAACACCCTATATAAAGAAAGTATTTTTTTAATATTAAAAGTACTTATATATACTATTTATACTTATGTTTACTCACTTAAGTCTGTTATGTTATTAAATGTAACCTGTTACACGTTACAGATTACAGGTTTATTTCTTCAATGTTTAATATATCGTGTTTAAGTTTAATAAATCTTTACAATCTTTTTTTTTTGTGTTATTCAGTTTTTATTCAGTTTCAGTTTAAACATTGTTTTATGTGCTTTTTATACGTGCTATAGTTTTGGTAATTTCAACTTAATAATTATAATGATGATATTATAATAATACAGTCAAACTTCCATAACTCAAACTTCTATAACTCGAATTTTTTATAACTGGAACCAACAACAGTGCACGAAGGTCGCTGGCCAGTCGCTGGCAGCGTGGTTTAAAGTAAATAAAATAAGCTCTAATGCTATTCTTAACAATTATATTGAGCTTGACAATGAAATTTGTACATCAAGCTTTTCTTCAGATGACGCTATTATTGAGCACTATAGCTCTAAATTACTGGATCCAATTCTAAGCGCAACGGAAAGTGATGATAAGGGTTGGGTGGATGTAATTGTTTATCAGCCTTCCAAGAATGAAGTAGTAGGTTCATTCAATATTCTGAATTTATATTTGCAAACGAAGGATACTACAACTGATGATCACTATAAGGCTTGGAATAAATTGGAATCTCTTTTTACTGAAAAGAAGAAAAAAATTAAAATCCCAAACCCTAATTTCTTATCATTTTACTTCACTATAACTTCTTAGCTTTATTTGATTGCAAATAAATAAATACCTTAAAAAGTAATTTTAGTTTCTTTCAAAAATAAAAAATAAATAAAAAAATTCTCTAACTCGAAGTCTCCATAAGTCGAACCTTTTCTTTGCAAAATTGAACTTTCAGTTATGGAAGTGTGAATGTATATAATAATAATGATATTTTAAAGCGATTCCATTGGTTACGTTCTTCATTTCTAGGAATTTTTCATTACCGTTTAATCTATTAAAATAAAATAAATTTATATCTGAATTAATGCTTTATTTTATTTGGCATTAATATTTAAATTTAAATTTAAACTTTATTTATTTTTATATATTTATTTATATATTTATTTCTATTTGAGCCAGTGCACTTAAGCACTTTTACTCTTTCTTAACTCGAGGTATTTTTAAAACCCCTCTTTACGCCTTGACTGGATTATTGTTTATCACTTCAACAGACTAAGCAATAATTGACCTCAGATCTGTATACCTCCCCGAGGAGCCTGTAACCATTCTGAGATTTGATAACGTAGTGTTGGAAAGTCTGTCAGTTTTCGCAAATAATTTCAGGGCTCTATCCTTTATGTATTTTTTGATGGGATCCATCTTGATGTCCCTGAGGATGTCATTCGTCCTAATGTACCATGGAACAATTATTATTATTTTTACAATTATTATTATTTTTACAATTATATATTGTTTAGGCTTTTGTTGTCTCTTAAACTCAATATTATAAATTCCAAGTTCTATTTGATTATTTAAATAATTTATTTAAAATAACGAATGCAAAATGTTTGAACTTCAACAGTGGAGGCATGTGCTTGATCAAAACTACAGCGTAGCTTAAAAGTCAGCTTTGTTATCGATTGCATATATCGATAACAATGTTGTGACATTTGGCTGTGTAGTGTTTTTGTGGTTTAGTTTTTTTCTCCATTTCTTTCGTTGGTCACAACAAATTATAAAAATTGTAAGAACTTTTTTGTATATAATAAATAATATAAAATATTTTTTACAATTTATTTATTCCTTTGTTGAAAATAACGTTAAAGAATATAAATATAATAATAGTTTACTCTCAGTTATTGCAGTTATTATAACACAGGTTGGGCGCGTACAACGCAACGACAACGCCCATACAAATTAATTGAATCATAAACAACATTATTAAAACTAAAATATTTCGAATTAATTTATATAAAAAGTATAATTTTATTTAGAAATAAATTTATCACTGCACACAATTTTTAAATCTAACGATATTCAAGTGAAATTGTAAGGCTTCAATATGAATTACGGTCGTAAAACTCCATCAACTTATCGTTCCAATCCATCTGTGTATTCACACACCACTGGGAGGTATTTTTATTATGAATTATGTTTTGTTTTTCGGCAAATAAAAAATGTTATAATTTTATTATAGATCATCAACAAATCTACATTCCATAAAGTCCCGTTCAACACGTTCCGTGCGTATACCTTGGTATCAACGACCCATATTGCAGAATAATCAGTATATTGACATACAAAAGAGTTCCATGCTTATTGGGCTCTTTGCCATAGTAAGTGTAATGTGCAATATATTTTTAAAAACATAATCGGTCAATTTTTGTTTTAGTTTTTAGCTTTATTTACCATTGGCACCTCAATATTTGATATTTATTCTTTGGCTATGGCTGCGCCAGGCTCAACGCATTATGGCTACTATATAATATCGTATGAATTCGTTTATGTTGGCAATAAACATGGTGAGTATAATGTTTTAAACAAATTTTTCTAATCACAATATTTGAAAAGTTAAGTTACATTACTGCGGTAATTCTAGGCATCCACTAAAGGCTCTTAGCTTGTAGTATAAAACTTAGAGGTCTTAAAATCATTTTTAGTAAATTCTTGTGGAGTGTAAGTCTTTAATATTTCTAATCTATGTTGCATTTGTGCTGGTCAGTGCAAATGTAAATTTTAGGCACGATTTTCATCTTTTACACAACATAGACAAAATTAATTAAAAGAAATATTCAAGTTTCTAGCGTAGGACATATTTTTACAAGTCAACTGAATTACACAGCCAGACTTTTTCTTATTCATTCATTAT